TTTTCCCAAGTTTCCATATGTGGCTGCTAGATTTGACATGGCAGTGATTGTATCCGGGTGTTCCACTCCAAGAATTCTGTTGCTTGCATCCAGAACTTGGATCTGCAGCTTCTCTGCCTCTGTGTATTTTCCCAGCTTTTGATATGTGGCTGCTAGATGTGCCATAGCATTGGTTGTATCTGGGTGTTCCACTCCAAGAATTCTGTTCCTTGCATCCAGAACTTGGATCTGCAGCTTCTCTGCCTCTGTGTATTTTCCCAGCTTATAATATGTTGTTGCTAGATATGCCATGGCAGTCATTGTACGTGGGTGTACCACTCCAAGAATTCTGGTGCTTGCATCCAGAACTTGGATCTGCAGCTTCTCTGCCTCTGTGTATTTTCCCAGCTTTCAATATGTGGCTGCTAGATTTGACATGGCATTGATTGTATTTGGGTGTTCCACTCCAAGAATTCTGGTGGCTGCATCCAAAACTTGGATCTCCAGCTTCTCTGCCTCTGTGTATTTTCCCAGGTTTCGATATGTGGCTGCTAGATCTGACATGGCAGTGATTGTATCTAGGTGTTCCACTCCAAGAATTCTGTTCCTTGTATCCAAAACTTCAATCTGTAACTTTTCTGCTTCTCTTGGATATCCTTGTTCCATCAACAATCTCCCACACTTGGCATAAGCATCATCTAAGTAAGTGACACCATTCTTGTTACTTTCTGATCTGGAATGCTCCATATTCACTCTTATATGTGTTACCAAGACCCTCTGAAATCCATATGGCTGGTCTTCACCCCATCTTAGTGAACAAGACAAAGTAACATATGCCATTAAGCAGGAGGTCTTTACCATCCCCCATGAGTTCCGGCGGATTCCGGCAGATTCCAAGTGGAATGTTGGAATTCCATGGAATTCCGACGGAAACTAGTTGGCTGGAGCCTCAGCCATTCTGGTTTCCAATTCCACAGAAATTCCAATGGAATCCAACGGAATCCGGTGGAAATGGTCGGAATCCGGGAGCCTCCCGGAACAGTTTCCATTGGAATCCATTGGAATTCCAACCAGATTCCATGGAATTCCAATGGAAAGTATATTCCAGTCAAATTCCAACAGATTCCGAGAGATTCCAATGAATTCCAATATTTGTTGTTGTTATTATAATATATAATAAAAATAAGTGGATGCATAAGGATTGAACTCTAGGCTCGGGAAATGTCACGTGAAGTCCAAGCAGCAATATTTCCACTACACCATACGGCCGTTAGAATTCTACAAACATTTATTCTATATAACCCACCCTCACACCCACCTTCCTAAACGAGTCACGGCGTTTGCCGACGTCACCATCAGCATCTCTGTTTTGCTGTCATACACAACCACAACCATAACCACAACCACCACCACCGTCGCCGCGACCAGCGCGGTCACCTCGAATCACGCCCACGCCAGCGGACAACGACGACGACGACGACGATGTACGACGACACGACGACACGACGACGACGACGGACGACGACACGACGACACGACGACGACGACGACGACGACGGACGACGACACGACGACACGACGACGACGACGGACGACGACACGTCAGCGACGACGAGGCCGGCCACACGACGACGGACGACGACACGTCAACGCACGACGAGGACGACGACACGTCAACGCACGACGACGACGGACGACACGTCAACGCACAACGACGACGGACGACACGTCAACGCACGACGACGACGGACGACACGTCAACGCACAACGACGACGGACGACACGTCAACGCACGACGACGACGGACGACGACGACGCGTCACGTCAACACACGACGACCACGCACGACACGTCAGCGACGACGAGGACGACACGTCAACGGACGACGGACGAGGACGACGGACGACGACGACGACACATCAACGGACGACGACGACGACGACGACGGACGAGGACGACGACACGTCGACGGACGACACGTCAGCGACGACGAGACGGCCGCACGTCAACGGACGACGACGAGGACGACGGCGACACATCAACGGACGACGACGAGCCCCCTCCCTTTTCCCTCCCCCCTTCCTATTCCCTCCTCCTTCCTATTCCCTCCCCTCCCTCTTCCCTTTCCATTCCCTTTTCCCTCCCCCTTCCCTTTTCCCTCCCCCTTCCCTTGTCAATCCCCTATTTCTTGTGCCCCCCTCTTCCTTTTCCCTTTTCCCTTCCCCCCTTCCTTTACCCTTTACCCTTCCCCCCTTCCTTTTCCCTTTTCCCTTCCCCCCTTCTTTTTTCCTTTTCCCTTCCCCCCTTCCTTTTCCCTTTTCCCTTCCCCCCTTCCTTTCCCTTTTCCCTTTTCCCTTCCCCCCTC